GAGCAGTTGGACAGGTGTACCTAATAAAGTGGCCGGTGAGTGTATATAGTATATGGACACTGACAAAAATTTTGTCTTTTTACCTGTTTACTGAAACATATTCAAGTTATAGTTATATAATAAACATGGACATAAAGTCCAGACATTCAGCTTTCATTTGAGGGTATCCACATTAAAACTGGATGAAGTGTTTAGGAGTTTCAGCTCCTTAACATGTGACACCCTGTTTTTAAAGGGACCAAAAGAAATTGGACAATTGACTCCAAGGCTATTTCATGGACAGGTGTAGACAATCCCTTTGTTATGTCATTCTCAATTAAGCAGATATTACATGAGTATTACAAAATGCGTTGAAAACTTTTATTACATTTTTTCGTCAATTATTACTCATTGTGGTTGTAGTGCAGTTTTATTACATTTTGAAGCTTGATTTTATTACATTATTACATAACGCAGCGGTACATGTCTTCAAATACAGCTTTTGTAGGACACATCTACAGTGGGGAAAAGTATTTAGTCAGCCACCAATTGTTCAAGTTCTCCCACTTAAAAAGATGAGAGATGCCTGTAATTGACATCTTAGTTAGACCTCAACTATGAGAGACAAAATGAGAAAACATATCTAGAAAAACACATTGTCTAATTTAAAAAAAAAAAATCACAAATTATGGTGAAAAATAAGTATTTGGTCAATAACAAAAGTTCATCTCAATACTTTGTTGTATATCCTTTGTTGGCAATGACAGAGGTCAAASGTTTTCTGTAAGTCTTCACAAGGTTGRCACACACTGTTGCTGGTATGTTGGCCCATTCCTCCATGCAGATCTCCTCTAGAGCAGTGATGTTTTGGGGCTGTCGGTGGGCAACATGGACTTTCATCTCCCTCCAAAGGTTTTCTATGTGTTTGAGATCTGGAGACTGGCTAGGCCACTCTAGGACCTTCTTACAAAGCCACTCCTTCATTGCCCTGGCAGTGTGCTTGGGATCATTGTGATGCTGAAAGACCCAGTTTTATTTATAAATTATTATTATTATAATTTAAATTTTATTATCACGCCTATGATCTCAGCCGATTACTTTCATTGTGGAAAAGCTGCAGCTCTTCTCTGGGTTCTTCACTCTATTTCTAAGGCTGAGCCTGACCATTTTATGAACAAATTTCATTTTAGCTGTTTCATTCAAGATCTTGTCTTTTTCAGTCATCATGCATACCTTATGACCATAGGTAATGAATGCAGTTGCTTTTCCCATCTCTTCACCTGATCTTTGGTGACAAGTTCCTGGAAGATGTTTGTAACTGCCTGACAGTATACCCAGTCTTGGTCAGCAGTCCAAGACTGGGTATACTGTCAGGCAGTTACAAACATCTTCCAATAGTTGTGACCAAAGATCAGGTGAAGAGATGGGAAAAGCAACTGCATTCATTACCTATGGTCATAAGGTATGCATGATGACTGAAAAAGACAAGATCTTGAATGCAGTTGCTTTTCCCATCTCTTCACCTGATCTTTGGTCACAAGTTCCTGGAAGATGCTTGTAACTGCCTGACAGTATACCCAGTCTTGGTCAGCAGTCCACCTCCCAGGCCAAGCCAGCCTGGGATGGAATTCACAGTCCTTTTCTGAGTTGTTGAACCCTTTGCCAGAACCCTCTTGAAGCTAACCAGAGGTCCTCCTCCATCACCTCTAAAAACAGATGGTTTGAGTTGTCAATCAAATGGTACTAAGTCTTAATAATTAAAATAATATATCTGGATTGGCTGACTTTATTTTTTACACATTATTTCTTACATTTGGTCTCATTTTTTTGCTTAGATAAAATAAATGGCAATAAGTTGTTGTTCATTTTCAGCTGTAATAATTCAAATTTGAATATTTTATACCAGGTTAATATCACATGAGGATTCAAGCTAAGAATTGAAAAACCTATTTGCGGTGCCTGTATGTGGATGCTGAATTTAGAACGATATATAATATGCATGTCCTTTTGTTTAGATGATTGCTGCCCAGAAACAGCTGATTGAGGGTGCAGATGGTGTTCAGGAGAGGATTGACCACGTGCACAAAGAAGGTAAAGTGTGAAGAGTAGAATAAAGRCTGGGTTATAGTCACGCTTTGGGTTGTTGCACAAGCTCTGCGGAGTGGGCGCGCTCCTGAGCCGGGCGCTGTGTGAAAACATAGCTGACGTTCATGTTATCGCTGTTCTTCCGTCACCGACAGACGGCAGTACGGTGCCAAATCAGCGGAAAAGTAGTCGGGAAGAGTGTAGAAGAAGAAACGCTTGACGTTACACATAACAAAGTAACAATATTTACCTCTTTTTCCATATTATCTGTTTCTCTGTGCTTCACGAACTGAGAGAGCAACGCTGGTTTGTTCCCTCCAGGATCACAAACTGGTCGCAAATATTTTTTCATGTCGTCCGGCATATTAACTCATCTTTCTTTAAAGCCGTTGCTATTTCCTTCTATGAGTTTTGTGCCATCTGGTTGTCTTTATGATCTCTCATGGAGGGATCATACAGATGCCGGTACATTTGGATCTGTTCAGCGAGAGCACCTTCGCGACGAGTGGCGCGCAGCCTTTGCGGAGCTTCAAAATTTCTGAGGTGCACGACCACGCGTCAGGATACATTGCGTGGGGGCGGGGATGCCGCGATTGCGTAACTTTTGACGCAAACCCCCACACGCCCTGTGTTTCATGTCAACTATAACCTAAGCTTAAAAGGCTACATGAGTAAACACAAGGTGAAGTGGGTAAAAACAGATGTGATCATGAATTAAAGTACTGCACTGTTAAATGCAATGGTAAATCCTGCATGAACCAGCAGCTAGTAAATTTACTGATGTTGATTGTTGAGCGATCAGATCAGAGATGCTTATGGTCTTTACATATTATTGAATGTTAAAACATGTCTGCTTCAAGTGTTGTTTTTCAGTAAACCTGACATTCTGAGAGAAAACTCTACATAAAATTAAAGGTGTCTAAGCAACAGAGTCACCATCTTAGACAGCTACTGACCTTTAGATGCAAAAGTAAATGTCAGGAGCAGTTTGACGCTTGCACAAATATGTCAGTCCTGTGACAACACATTTACCAAGACTTGACTCTTGGCTGACAGTATCTTGCTCAGGTTTAGATGAATCTTTCCCACAGTTGACAGCTGGGTTTCATTAGAGTTTAAACACTGATGTTACGCTTGGCTTCTGGATGTGTTTGACAGGAATGGACTTCCATGAGGATCTCTCCCGGCTTGGTGACAAGGAAGGATTGAAGGGACGCAAGCTAAATAAAGCAGTGGAGAGTTTCACCTGGAACATCACTGTGCTCAAGGTACCATAACACATAAAAGTTTTAGAAAATCCACTGGTGTAGCTGTACACTTTAGGATATTATAATGTAAGAAACACTTACACCTCTTATAATGAAGTTATGAGGAAATTATTTATCAAGGGTTCTCTTATTTTAAGGAAATATCTTCCCTATGCAAGAGTGAATGACAKCACAATAAGTGAACGAAACTCAGTGAATTCAATTTGATCAAGCAACAAACGAGATCATTTATTTACATAGTTCAAACACATCACTAGTTAAATTAATTGTGAGCAATCAATTTTCTATGAAAGTTTAAGAATTAACAACATTAGCACGCGTCCAAGCTTATTAATTATTAATATAACTTTTTATACCACACTCTTCAGGCTTAGATGTTAAATACACCAGAACATTTGCAGGCACTTCAAACTTAGGTTTTGGCAAGGCAGATATTTTTAAAAATGTACAAAACTAAACAACCTACATTATTTTTACAGTCTTTATTTTACAGTTAAAATGTATGTTTATTAAATAAAGTCTAATGTTACAACTAATCATGGATCCCTTTAACACCAAAAGAATTAATTATTTCAACTTAAACACATTTGCAATGTGATTCAGACAAATAAAATATTAATGTTTCACAGTTAARTTTCAGGCAATGATTTGCATCAAAACATAATAAAGGTGTATTGGAACAATAGTCTTTGTSTGGTTTTCTTTTACATGCAGTTATAAATTTAAAGCACAGTGAGAGAAGAGAGGTTGTCCTTCKTCTCTGGTATGTAACTCTGACAAGCATTATCTCTGATTATCAGATGCATAAGAACTCTTAGTTAAATGAAAAATAAATCAAATAAAAAGAAGATTATTCTGTTTATTATCTGATTAAGAAAAAGAGAAAGTCTCTTTATGGTTAAGATGACCTGTTATGGCCTAAATTCAATTGAACTGGGACGGAGTTGTCTCTTTAAAGGGCCCGTCCGAGGCCTTGGGTCAAAGACAGTTTTCTTGTTTATTCCACTTGAAGTGACCATCACAATAACATAGAGCTACAGAGGTTAGTTGATGAAGAAAAATTAAAGAATATTTGACAAAAAAAACGGCACATTTTTCTCACTAAATGCTCAGTGTTTACAATCAGTGAGCCTAKTGTTTGTGCAGCTTATTTTCAAAAATCACCACCTGTTTTGTGTGTGCAGCTTTCAAAGCTACGGTATATTCTAGGCTGTACACATTATTCTGCTGATCATCTCCACTCACTGTACTTGCCCTAGGCAGCTTTGTACCGACTTTGACAGTCCAAGTCGTGCCCCAGAGATCCAGAAAAGAAAATCTGTCATTTTTAGCAGGTCAGCTG